CATACTCCAGAAATTTTTGTTCGGTTTCAGCTGTGCAAAAATACTGTTTAACACGGCATACATATCTTTAACCTACTTGAAATGGAACTATTGGATAATAATACCTTGATTAATGTGTACTGTACATAATTATAATAATTTAATTTAAATTTTTATTTCATTTTAAGTTTAAAAGATGAAGTTCACTGAACATAATTATGCATGCATCTATTTACATGTACATGTTTCTCAAGAGTATTTAAAATGTAATTGATGAATCATATTTTAGAATTACATAATTATATAATGTTTGCAATCTGAATTTTGTTCTATTGTTGTTAATGTTCCAAGTGAGCAATTGTTGCACATGAGTCTCATGAGACTCATGTGAGCAATATTCTAGGTGAGCAAAATGATTCCTCATGTGAGCAAAAAATGCTCATGTGCAGAACCTCGCTCACGTGAGCATTTTCACCTAATTTGCATGTTAAATTGCACATGAGACTCACGTGAGCAACTCAGGTGAGGAAATCTGGTTAGTTCTCACGTGAGCTGCTCATGAGCAAATTGTGAGAATAGTTTGGTATGGGAACATGTGTAAACCTTGTACTGTATGGTACCTATAAAACATGATAAATAAACATTTACAGTTTGTTCAATTTATTAAGAAGCCATTGTTTTTACTAAAGAAATTAATTTTTATAAGCAGTATTTAACATTAAATGTTTAAGGGTTATATATACTAAACAGTAAGTTGCACCCTCACTTTTCCAACCCCTTTAGTCAACTAAAGAAACAAAAAAGGGAGAAATAAGGGAAAACAATATCATTGTGAGGGAGCATGGTAGAAGCTGTGAGGGGATGAAAAAGAAGAGGCAATATAAGCATTAGGAGCAACATTTTGAGGATGAAGGATGGAATTAGCATCTGCATCCTCACAGTCTAATCCTAAATTAAAATGCCCCTATAGACCCCATAATGATCAGAAGATTGTAAGGATTCCTTACACTGTGAATCTTCTTATCGTTAGGTGGTCTGCAAGGGCTTTTCAGTTTATTGTATGATTTTCAATGCTCAGTCAATAGCTTGTAATTATGTCTCCTTATATTATATAAAAATTATCGTGCTCCTCTTATATATATAGAGAGAGAACAAATCACATTTGTCATGGTCTGGGTGCTACTTGTGCCCATATATTTACAATGTATATTCAATATTAACTTTTTTATGTAGAATATTTCTTATACATTTAATTTGCTTATGATTATATTGATATTGAATTCAGCATATCTCATCTGATTTTCTTTTTTAAATTATTTTATCTTTATCTTTTTTTTAATTTTGACTTACTACTGCTACTAAGTATGACCTTAAGGATCAATATATTATTAAACAAAATTATGTTACAGTGTTTAAATTTCAAAAATCAATTTCACTCCGATCAATCAAAATCAGAATATAAAAATATTGACCTTTAGCTTTTTGTCAATATTTATGAGATTTAAGGCATTTCTATATGGTGAACTCATGCGTTACAAATCGGCCTAAGGGCATTCATAAAATACATGTCTGTGCAACCATTAACAGATTTGCTTTTAAACTTTCAATCTCCGATTACTATCTGTTTGCTTGTTTAAGGAAATGTAAAACAAATTGAGTTGTAAGAAAGTCTTCTATCTGCTATTAGTGACGTATACCTAGTCCACTTAAGGTTTACATCATCAGGAAAGGCAAGTCAGCTAGTTTGTTGTGATAAGGTGTTGGATTTTATGAGTGAGGTTATACTTGTTACATATACATGTTTGTGTAATCCTTTGTATACATATACTTGTAGTTAGAGAGAGACAGAGAGAAAATAAGAGTGATCATAGAGAGATTGCATTTAATTTATGGCTGTAATTTTTAATTTATCAAGCATCCAAAGTTTTAGTTATTTTAACTTGCTGATTGACATTTGCATTGTAATGCATATATATACATGTATTTATTAATTCTGTTTCAAATAGATTTTTTTACCTCCCTTTTTCTTCCTGTTCCTCATGAAAACTGAGGTTTCTTCAAAGAGCGATATATGGTAAGTGTCTCAATTGGCCCCTTAAAATGGATATCTAAATTTTACTTTATATATAGCTTTAATTTGTACAGCTATATATGAGAACTTTATTGGTCATTTTCATTTTGATCGAATTGCCGTTATTTTAGAAATATGACATCATAAAAATCACGTTTTCCCGCCATTTTAGCATTTTTTGTATAAAACTGCTAATTTTCAAGCAGTTTTTCTTTCAGAAAATATAGAGCGCAGCCTAGAACAAGATTTATATTTTTACCAAAGATGTATCTATTCAATACTAATTAGTGACAGAAAAATTATGTATGTTCTACACTGCGCTCTATGTTTCCCAGAAGAAAAAACGTCAAGAAAAAGGCATATTTTTGGCTTTTTTGTTAGATAGCAAAAATAGCATTATTTCTCATGTCATTCGCAGCTAGTGAGTGCATATAAATGTGAAAAATATATTGGAAATATTTCTAATATAATCTCTTCTACAAAATAAATATAAATAATACATATCTGAATGTCATTCTAAAATGTTGATTTTTAGGGGGCCACAATTGGCTCTTATCATATATACTCCTTTTATATAAATTTTTCCTCTTCCTTTGCTTTTGAGAATTATTTTCACTTTTACCATGTTCTATTTTTATACTAGATAAAGAAGTCACCATGACAACAGAAAAGACACAGAATGGTAAGAGTGATGCCTCTGACCCAGACAAGGGAGCTAACCGGACCCTGTACGTGGTCTTCCTGTCCCTGGTGATTGACCTGCTGGGCTTCACCCTGATCCTCCCCCTCCTCCCCTCCATACTGGACTACTACGGGACCAATGAAAAGGTAAGACAGCTGTCGTCATGGAGATATGTAAATTTTTGTTAGAAGATGTGTCATGAATGATAGTTCTAGGGAAGAGATTTTAGATTTTAATCCAAGATTATTGCAGTGATCACAAGAGCACCCCCTCCATCTAGCAAAAAAAAAAAGAGAAAAGAAGAGCAAAACGAGTAACATAAAGGGGGTGGGGAAACATTTCTTTAAAAAGGCCTGTTTAAGGTTTTGATTTAAGCTTAATTGAATGCATTTTGCTAGATGATCATGTTTCATTTTAACATTATTATGCTTAATTCTATTGTCATATTCTTTTTTATTTTATAGGACACTTTATATAAGATGATCAAGGATTCGGTGACAGGGTTTAGGGAGATGGTAGGGGCCCCAGACACACCACGGTGGAACTCTGTACTGTTTGGAGGTCAGTTGAAAAATTTGAGTTTACATACATGGTAGTCCTTTTGCTTGAAGTATGTGTAAATAAAACCTATATATTTCAGATCTCTATCTTTATGACAGGATGCAATTTAAGAAATCAGCTTTCATCAAAATCAATGAACAGGCCATAGGGCAATATCTAAATATGAATTTAAAGCAAAACTTTCATATTAAGTAAAATAAAGACATTTGTGAAACACTGATGCCTTTGTTAAACACTTCAGAGCATATAGGTTAAAGTTTTCAAATGAAGGTCAAACTTCAAGATCAAGAGTTCAAAAATGTTGATCCCTGAAGAAAATTAAAGTGTACATATGAAATATAAAAGACCCAATACTATATATACCTATAACCATTAAGGAAATGTGCATGTGTGTTCATACATGTGTATGAAAATCTTAGCACCTACCATTCAGATGTTACATCCAAGGTTGAATCTTTTCATTAGTAGACCAAAGGTTAAGGTCAAAATGTCAAAACTTCTGGTACCCCAAAAAATCTAAACACAAGAAATACATTTGTGAAATATGAAAATTTTAGTTTCATTCAATGGAAAAGTTATACATGTATGACCAAAATCAAAGTTTGGGAATACGTTTCAGTCTCTGTTGTACATGTAGGTTAAACTCCACAATCAAGAAAGATCTTGTATCATAAAATATACATGTGAAATATGAAAGTCCTAGTGCCAACCATTCAAAAGATATAAGAATAAAGTATTTGCAGATAAGCAGATTAAAAGATATATGGACAGATGGAGAGACAGACCAAAACCTACATGTATATACCCCCAGATTCTTTGATTATAGGGACATAAAATTGTTATATTGCTGTCAGGAATATTGAAATAGTCATACCAAATGTCATGTACTATAATGGTCTGCAATACTATAATTGACCATCGTTTATTTGTAGGTGTGATTGGGTCCCTTTTCTCAATGTTGCAGTTTTTAGCTTCACCCATAATGGGTGCAGCCTCAGATGTCTATGGCAGGAAACCTGTGCTTGTCATCTCCATGGTAACATTTTGTTCTTACTAGTATTTTTGTGCAATACTTATATTTTGAACATTTATTTATATACTTGTAATAAGAAGAAAATAAAACTGATGAATAAAAAATTATCACTGTTATTCAGAATATGAAAATCCCCCTCCTCCCAATTTTCCAGAATGAAATGTATTGCTGCTCTTTAATTTTAGAATATAATTTGATAGGAATTGATAGATATTCTTTTATTTTACAGGTGGGGGTGGCAGCTTCCTATGCCCTGTGGGCGGTTTCACACAACTTCACCCTCTTTGTCATTGCTCGCATCATTGGGGGGCTCAGTAAGGGGAACGTCAGTATATCTACAGCAGTCATAGCTGATATATTCCCCCCAGAAAAAAGAGGCAAAGGCATGGTAAGAAAAGCAACAGAGAAATGCCTTCAAATTTACCTTCACTTTTTTAAAATGGTACATAGTAAATGCCAAGTAATTCTTTGAAATGTTTTATTTTATTGATTAGAATGATGAGAATATTTAAGATTTCAAAAAGCAGAACTGAAAAAACGAGATGATTTTATTAAATTTTAGGCCTTTGTGGGTGTGGCATTCTCAGTTGGATTTGTATTTGGACCAATCATTGGAGCCGTTTTCTCCAGATTCGCCCGGGAACAACAGGAAGTGTTCTATACAGCCCCTGCCCTTTTTGCACTTGCTTTAGCCATCATAGATGTTATTTTTGTTCTTATGTTTTTCAAAGAATCACTACCACAACATAGAAGGGTAAGCTAATATCCTCAGTTATAACAAAAACCTGAATTTTAAGAAACACAATTGGTTATATCTGTTGGCTTCTTTATAAACATGTTCTTATAACCCAGGTTGAATAAAAATCACATCACTATATGCATCAATTCATTACAAGGATGTTGATATTAACATTAATGTCATTTTATGAATGGATTATATAAGTTCAGTTCAGTTTTTGTCTGGTATGCAGGTTTTAAAACTTCATGTTAATTAATGCAATTAATGAAATAACGTATAAGTGGAAATTTTTAGCGAGATACAAATTTAGTGGTTTGTCCTTGAAAATTGGTATTTCATTTTTTAATTAGCAAGAAGTAATTTTAAAAATGATTTTAAAAAGCTAAGTAAAGAAGCTATTAGAAATAAAGCGCAATCAATTTTTAGCGATATTCAATTTTAGTGATCTTGGCACCCTCGCTAATAATGCCAAAATTAAATCCTCGCTAAATATTCTGCTTATGCGGTATGTATTTTACACTAGGGAAAGTAGGAAATTTTCCCACAAATGTTCATAAAAAAACAATCTTTGTATTAAATGCCAGCACAAGTAAGTTTCTAAATCTTAAAGCCCTCTCAGGCTCTGCCACAAGCCAAGGTTTTACATCTTAAAATGCTTAATTATAAGCATTACTCTACTGAGTTGAGTTTGAATTGGAAACCATTGGCTTGCTAAATTGTATTCTTTTATCCATGAGTTACCTTATATAATACATTTTCTTTTCCTAGGCCAAGTCCATTTCCTCTGGATGGCAGAACACATCACATCTCATCAACCCAGTGTCTTTATTTAAATTCTCTCCTGTGAAAAATACAAATGCTCAAGGTAAGACAGTCAACAAAATGATAAGTTATAAATTATTGACTGAAAGGTGTGAAATATGATAACCACTCCTACCCTATGTCTTTAAAATATATCAAAATGTGTCATAGGAAAAAGTATTTCTCCAAAAAATCTGCTGAAAATGAGATGTCTGTCATCATTTTTGTATGTTTCTCTTTTGACAGATGTGTCTGCGATGCAGAAGATAGGTGCTGTGTATTTTCTGTATCTTCTGATGTACTCAGGACTCGAATTCACACTCACGTTCCTCACTCACAACAGGCTCAACTACGACAGGTAACTCATCAACAGTCTTCATCAGATTTTCATCTCCTCCTCACTGCATCATCATCATCATCATCATGGACTCGCTCTTTTATAATTTTCTTTGAAGTTTGTTTCTTATTGATCATCTTCATTCTTTCATCAAAAACACAGCTAGCATTAAAAAATTAATTTCCTGTAATGTTTCGTTACCAGGACAATGCTTTAAATCAGTTTTTCTTAAGATTAAGCTTTGTGTTTTATCTTCATCAGTATGCAACAAGGGAAGATGTTTTTCTTTTTGGGGACCATTATGGCTTTAGTGCAGGGTAAGTCATTTGGCTGTACAAATTTTTCGAAGAGTTTGTGCTGTGTTAATTGTTTTTATGTACCTCAAAAACCTTGAAGCAAGTAGTAAAATAAAATCATGGAATTGTCAGAATTTATTGAAAGCAATTAGTTGATACGTTTTTTGCATAAAAAATACAGGTGGTTATGTGAGAAGGATACCTGCAGGGAAAGAAGTGAAGATAGCCACCCTGGTAAGAATTTATAAATCTTATTCATCCATAATTTAAAAGCTTAGCAGCTTTTTTATCTATGAAAATAAGCAATTTTACATCATTTCATTTTATTTTGGAGAGAAAATACTGAGTATTACATTTCAAAAGGGAAACTGCCTCTATTTCTGCAGTTATTTTGGGTCAAGAAAGCACTGGTTGCATGGCAAGATATAATGCTAAAAATATATTTTTTAAGCATTTCTTAATTTTACTAAGTTAAGACTATTCTTTGCAATTTCAGGGAATGACGATGCTCATCCCAGCCTTTGTGTGCATGGCCTTTGCCTACAGTGCTAGCATGATGTACATAGGACTGACATTGTTTGCCTTTGGTGTGTAACTTCTAAATTATCAATTTCCTCTGCTTCATATTCATTGAATATATTAGAGAATCCTGTATATACAGGTATATACTTGCACACACAAATGAAAGCAACATACTGGCTTTATAATATTAGGAGCTATGTAGAAAATTCTTCTCATCTATATCAAATATTCCTGGATTTGGACCAGGAAATTGAGATATTTATTTGAAATTACTACATTTTTATATAGCTTCAGCCACAGTTGTTCCTTGTCTGACAACACTGATCTCAGGATTTGGAGGCACGGATCAGAAGGGGGTGGTGATGGGAGTGTTCAGATCTCTAGGGGCTCTAGCCAGAGCTTTCGGTCCTGTCTTATCCAGTATAGGTATGGTCATATGATCACAATATTGGTTAAGCTAAAGTTAATTGTTTTTCATCTAATTAAAGTCTTTGCTATTAATCTCGCTGCATTACATTTCTGGAAATATGCATAGCATTTCTAACATTTTTTTCTCATTTCCGACATTTTTTTTTTTCATTAAATTCCGACATAATTATTTTTCATTTCCAGAATTTACCTGTGCAGCAATTCAAAATTGTTTTAAGTAAAAGAAAAAATGAATTTTTAAAAGTATTTATACCAAAATATGAAAAAAAATTGAGTAAAAAACAAAAACATCTATACATATATGCATACATGTAGCACTAAGTCTAGGTAATGCAGAAAACTTTTCCCACACATTTGATGTGCACTTCATTAAATGTCAGTGACAGCACCATTCTTGTGTCCAAGTCACTTATTTTTAAAATTCACTGAGATTTTACAAAGTTGAATTTCAATTATTCATTAATCTTTCAATTTTTCATAAGTAAAGTTATCAAATCTGTTACTATAGGTACTACATATGTATTTAAAAAACGTCGGAAATGAAAACTAAAAAATATCGAAAATGAAAAGTAAAAAAATCCGCAAATGAAAAGTAGATAATTACCAAAAATTAATGAAATGAAATGTAGCCGTTAATTTTATGCTTCATCTAAAATTAAATTATTGAGGACATTAAAGGTGAAATGCAACGCCACTTTTTAGGTCACCTGAGTAACTCAGGTATTCTTTGAAAATCTTCTCTGCTCCTAGGTATTAGATAAATTAAGTGCATAGTTATGATGACCAAGAGTGCCTCTACCAAAACTGTGAACTTTATGGCCCAAGAGTAAGGGGTTCTGGTGTTAATGTGGGGCTCTATCTGATTATATAGTGAAAATACATGACTTCTTTGAAAATCTTCTTCTCTGCTCCTTGGTATTAAATAGACCAACTAAGAACATAGTTATGATGAGCAAGTGCCTCTATCAAAGTTGTGAATTTTAGGGCCCCAGGTTCAGAGGTTCTGGTGTTAGGGTGGGGCTCTATTGATTGTATAGTGAAAATACATGAATTCTTTGAAAATCCTCTTCTCTGCTCCTTGGTATTAAATAAACTGAGTGCATCAATGTGATGATCAAGAGTGACTGCATGTACAAAAATTGTGAATTTTATGGCCCCAGGGTCAGGGATTCTGGTGTTAGGGTGGGGCTATATTGATTATTTAGTGAAAATACATGAATTCTTTGAAAATCTTCTGTGCTACTAGGTATTAATGCCCTGTTCACACGGAGAGTTTAATTCATAGTAAATTAATGCAAAGTAAACAAATGCGAATCAAACTCATATGAATAAAATTGCGTCAACAGGACAGCTTATGCAAAATAAAGTAATGGGAATTAAAATTTTACGTCTGCTGCCCGGCGTCAGCAAAACACATCACCTTCTGCAGAAGCATATCCATTTGACAAAATGGCAAAGTGTCTCTATATATACATTTTCATGATTAACAAAATTTTCCTAATTTTTTCACTCAAAATTACAAGTACCTATAGCTGACCATTGACAATTGGTATTTAACTAATTTTTACCATTACACATGCTTTAAAATTCAATCTGAATTAGCCTTGCTTAGCATTCACACGGAGCTAATGCGAAGTAATTTAATGAACAGCTAACTAATTCAAATTAAATTAATTTGCATTTAATTCTCCATGAGAACACTTAACGAAGCTAATTTTTCAGTAACTTTATGTTTACCGGGTAATTCGAATTAAACTCTCAGTGTGAACAGGGCATAATTAAATTATCTAAGTGCATAGTTATAATGATCAAGAGTGCCTCTACCAAAATTGTTGATTTTATGGTCCAAGGGTCAGGGGTTATGGCGGGGCTCTATTGATTGTATAGTAAAAATACATGAATTCTTTGAAAATTTTCTTCTCTGCTCCTGGGTATTATGCAGATACATGTACCTATAATGCTAACTATATATATAATTATCTATATTACTATAATGAGCAAGGGTTCTAATCTTCCAGAATTATGAATTTCAAGGCCAGAGGGTCAGGGGTACCATAAAGGGGGCTGTACTTATATACCGATTGATTGTATATTGTTTAATGTCTCTCTTGAGAATATTTTACTCATATGGAGACGTCACCATATGTCGGTGAAGGGCTTCAAATTTAGACTTATACTCAGCACGCAGGGCCATTGAGCAGTGAGGGTTCTTTATCGTGCCAACGCTTACCATGAATCGGGACCTACTGAAAATGAATGATTTGTTTGAAATCTGCTCCTTGGTATTAATCTAATATTCTTGAAAAGCAAGGATGCCTTTTCAAAAACTGTGCAATGTGTGGATCTATAGGCCTAAGGGTCAAGGGTTCATGTGTGGTAAGGGCACTACTGATTATTGCTGAATTACTGATTAGTTGAAATTGCATTTTTCCCCTTCCCAACCTATGGGTATTAAGTAACCAAACTAAGCAACTGCTAAGTGTATAGTAATGATGATCAAAGGTACCTCTTTCAAAATTGTAAATGCCATACCATCTGGCTTATAACATGAATCAAATTCAATCACTGAAAAGTTGTTGCATAATGCTCAGATGACCTATAAGGCCCATGGACCTCTTGTTAAATTAATCAATTTAATTAAATAGATTGATCCTAATTAATAAATCATAAATTAAACAAAACTTACTTTGACTTTCTTTTCGTGTAACTTGGATTCAAGTAATATTTTCTTCAGTTAAAAGGTTTTCCACTTAGTATAGTAGCTTGTTCCCTTATTAGGGTCCCCTTATTTTACACAATATACATGAAGATATGGTATTATTTTTATTTTCATGGTGTATAATATAGTATTTCTCATTAAAATTTTGTACAATCATTAATAATGACTTTAAGTATCAAGAAATACAAGCCAATTTTCAACACCTATCGCAAAAAAAAAAATTCTGGAACATTTTCTTTCAAACAGAGTGTGGTTTCTCTATTACATACAAATGGGCAGAGTCATTTAAATCAGGTACTATATAAAGGAAGAAATGGTGAGCTGTAGCTCTTTTCCATTACTCCTTCGAAAATCTTTTCCATTGCCCCTGGGTAATATGCCAATGATCTTAGTGTATATATTTAGGACGAAGAAAAGTGCATCAATTAATATGGTTAATTTCATGCCCCATGGGTCAGGGGTATACGATGGACCTTCAGATATCCGGACGCCAGATATCCGGATGCTTCAGTATCCGGACAACTTTTCATCGGAATGGATTTTGTCTTGTTTAACTGGTGATTCAGATATCCGGACGTTTCACATGACTGGACAAATTGACTACGAACCAAAGCGTCCGGATAAATAAAGCTCCATTGTAGTCTGAAATAAATTAATGGTTACAGGTATGAAATCTGTGTGGTATTAGTCAAATAAAAATAATTTTGAAATATGTGGCTTGAGGGTCAGTGGTTCCTGTAGGGTGGGCTGCACAACTGGTTATACAGTTGAAATGCACTTTCTCTTTGTTACTCTGATCTTACTCTGGGTATTAAGTATCTTACATGTGAAAGAGTATGCATGCTAAGTGTATAATTATGATAAGTAATGGTGCCTCTTTCATTTTATTATACTAGACTAGTTATTAGCTTTATAATACATGTATATAATAAAACAGACAGAAAAGAAAATATGAAATCAGAAGAGGATATGTAAATGAGAAATCTCAATTAGGTGAACTCCTATAAATACCATCTGACATTTGATTAATTAAAAGAATCCATTGGTAAACTCTGTATTCTCATTTCTGTAGCTGTGTGTACTTTGTTGTATGGTTCTTGTCTGAGAGATTGTTGGTATGAGTAAAGGGCAGCCTGGAGGTTTCCTGTCACCTGTTGACAGATCCCCAGAATCTGCCACGACATGTCTCTGAGATCTATATACTGTCCCTGATCATAGTGAACTAGGGTCTGTAGATCATCTAGAGCTGTTTGTACTCGCATTGTGTCTACATGTCTGTAGCACAAGATCTCTAGCATGTGTAACAGTACCAAGGATGGTACAAATAATACTGTCATGCGGTTCTGTTGAGCAGACTGTAGTTCTGGTATCAATTCATTGATGTAATGGATTCTAGTGTAAAGTCTGATATCCCATGCTACAGCCTGCCTCATCTTTGTCGACCAGGACGGTCCCCCTACAGCCTCAGTATACATCTCTCTATCTACATAATTTTTATACATAACATAAGGCTGTGCTAACTTGACCTTTGTCATCTTTGAGATTTTACAAAGTTGAATTTCAATTATTCATTAATCTTTCAATTTTTCATAAGTAAAGTTATCAAATCTGTTACTATAGGTACTACATATGTATTTAAAAAACGTCGGAAATGAAAACTAAAAAATATCGAAAATGAAAAGTAAAAAAATCCGCAAATGAAAAGTAGATAATTACCAAAAATTAATGAAATGAAATGTAGCCGTTAATTTTATGCTTCATCTAAAATTAAATTATTGAGGACATTAAAGGTGAAATGCAACGCCACTTTTTAGGTCACCTGAGTAACTCAGGTATTCTTTGAAAATCTTCTCTGCTCCTAGGTATTAGATAAATTAAGTGCATAGTTATGATGACCAAGAGTGCCTCTACCAAAACTGTGAACTTTATGGCCCAAGAGTAAGGGGTTCTGGTGTTAATGTGGGGCTCTATCTGATTATATAGTGAAAATACATGACTTCTTTGAAAATCTTCTTCTCTGCTCCTTGGTATTAAATAGACCAACTAAGAACATAGTTATGATGAGCAAGTGCCTCTATCAAAGTTGTGAATTTTAGGGCCCCAGGTTCAGAGGTTCTGGTGTTAGGGTGGGGCTCTATTGATTGTATAGTGAAAATACATGAATTCTTTGAAAATCCTCTTCTCTGCTCCTTGGTATTAAATAAACTGAGTGCATCAATGTGATGATCAAGAGTGACTGCATGTACAAAAATTGTGAATTTTATGGCCCCAGGGTCAG